TATTGATTTCTTACAGAGAGGAAGGGAGAGGGATAGAGAGTCAGAAACATCGATGAGAGAGAGCCATCGATCAGCTGCCTCCTGCACACTCCCCACTGGGTATGTGCCCGCAGCCAAGGTACATGCCCTTGACCAGAATCGAACCCGGGACCCCCGAGTCCGCAGGCCGACGCTCTATCCACTGAGCCAAACCGGTCAGGGCAAAAATATTTTTTTTAAATAAAAATAAAAAATACTTTGTGAGCAAGAGACTTTAAACACAAAAAATTAAATGAAAAACAAAAAAAAAGAAAAGAAAACCATACGGTGACAGTATCCATGCGGGGAACAATCCGTCGATAAGGGGATCTGGGCGGTCCCCCTCTGTGCTGCTCAAGGGTCCCCTGTGCTGACTGAACAGCGAGCACGTGAACGCCAAGGCCAGACTCACGTAATTGGGGGCCAGGTCCGGGTGGTTCCTCTCGATGCCGTCATCCAAGATGGTGACCACCACGTTCTTCCCCGTGTAGCCTCTCTTCCACGCCGCCTGCACGTTCATCTCCGAGCGGCAGCGGCTGTGCTTGTCCCCGCAGTGCTGCGCAGAAAGACACACGGACAGTCCTGACCCGGGACAGACACAAAGCCAGACCCAGCAGAGGCACCCCGTGCAGGTCTGAGGAAGCGCTCTCTGGCGCCCCTGATAGCCTAGATCCGTGGTCAGCAAACCGCGGCTCGGGAGCCACAGGCGGCTCTTTGGGCCCTTGAGTGTGGCTCTTCCACAAAATACCACGTGCGGGCGCAAGTACAGTGCGATGGAAACTTCGTGGCCCATGCATGGAAGTCGGTATTCTGTGGAAGAGCCGGTATTTTGTGCAAGAGTCACACTCAAGGGGCCAAAGAGCCGCATGTGGCTCGCGAGTCGCGGTTTGCCGAGCCGCAGTTTGCCGACCACTGCCCTAGGGCGTTGTCTTTCTTCGGGGCCTCTGTCCGGGGCTCGGCATCTCCACCAAATCAGCCCTACGGCTGCCATCCAATCGTCTCCCTGCTCAATGAGCCCCGCAGGGAATTTCGTATCATTTCAAAAAGAATTCACTCCTAGCTGGTTTGGCTCAGTGGACCAAAGGGTCCTGGGTTCGATTCTAGTCAAGGGGACATGCCCGGGTTGTGGGCTGGATCCGAAGTAGGGGGCGTGCAGGAGGCAGCAGATCCATGATTCTCTCTCATCATGGATGTTTCTCTCTCTCTCTCTGCCTCTCCCTTCCTCTCTGAAATCGATAAGAACATATTTATGTTCTACCTCTCCTGCCTCCATGGCAGCGCTAAGGATGTCCAATTGGCAGCTTAGGCCCATTTCCTGGGCCTAAGCCGTCAGTCGGACATCCCCCAAGGGCTCCCAGACTGTGAAAGGGAGCAGGCCAGGCTGAAGGCCCCCCCCCCCCGAGTGCACAAATGTTATGCACCGGGCCTCTAGCACAGCAGTCACCAACCTTTCGGACCTCACGGACCAGCAGTGGTCCGTGGACCACCGGTTGGCGACCGCTGCTCTAGTCTAATAATAATTCACCAGAAAGCTTGGGCCGCCAGCCCAGCGTGAAAGAAGTGCTTTCCGCTCCAGATGAAGGCTGTCTGTTGGAGTCACTGTGCGAATTCAGCTTCGCTGGGGGAAACGAACCCCTCCCGGGACCAGGGCCCCTGCGAACGCCCACTCACCAGGTACCACATGTTGGGCCAAATGGGGTCGTTGAAGTTAAGGGCCTGGGGGTCACTGCGCACCAGCCTCTTCACCCTGCGTTTGACTTCCTGTTGCTGGAGCCATTTCACCTGTTTAGGGGGGAAATGCAGTTACGATATATTTAATTAACTAACTAATTTATTTATTTATTTTTTTAAAAAAAATATATTTTATTGATTTTTTACAGAGAGGAAGGGAGAGGGGGAGAGAAACATCCATGATGAGAGAAAATCATGGATCGGCTGCCTCCTGCACGCCCCCTATTAGGGATGGAGTCCGCAACCCAGACATGTGCCCTTGACCGGGAATCAAACCCTGACCTCCTGGTTCCTAGGTCGCGATGCTCAACCACTGAGCCACTCAGAACAGGAGCAGTGTTAGGATTTAATTTAAATGATCCCCCTGACTGTATGCAGCTTCCGCATGGGTGCTACGGCAGCTGTGTTTTTCATGAATATCTGAGTCCTCTTCGATGTCTCCCACGGTCAAGTTCCAAGGAGACGTTTTCATGTGAAAGGCACCCCCGTTGGAAAAATGATAAGTTGTCTGTGTCTGTGGAGGTTGGGCTGCCCCCAGCCCGGGATTCAGTTCATCGACCCCGCGATCGGCCTGGTCACTTTCCGTCTCCCGGCCAGGAACTCCTTGTTCGTGTGCACGTCCCAGGGTGCGAGCACACAGAGCCGCCCGGTACCATCCCAGCTGCGGTTCAGGGAAAGGCCTGCTGACGCGTTGCCTCACGACTAGGAGGAACCCGATTAAACTCCAATTAAACTCTGTGGGCAAAGCCCCAGGTTACGGAACAGCACGCCAGCTCCTGTCCTGGAAATCAACATGTTGCAACCCCAGGGGACAAAAGCGCTGAAATAGCCCCGGCCGGTGTGGCTCAGTGGGTAGAGCGCCGGCCTGTGGACGGAAGGGTCCCGGGTTCCATTCCGGGCAAAGGCACGTACCTTGGTTGCAGGCTCCAGCCCTGGCCTGGTTCCGGTCAAGGGCGCGTACCTTGGTTGCAGGCTCCAGCCCTGGCCCGGGTTGGGGCGGGTGTGTGAGGCAACCAATAGATGCGTCTCTCTCACATCGATGTTTCTCTCTCTCTGCCCACCTCCCTTCCACTCTCTCTAAAAAAATAACGGACAAATATCCTTGAGTGAGCATTCACACTCACACACACACACACACACACACACAGGCTCAGTGGAAATCGCTGAAATGAAGGCTTGAGCCCGGCCGGCATGGCTCAGTGGTTAGAGTGTTGACCTCCGAACCAGGAGGTCACGGTTCGATTCCCAGTCAGGGCACGCACCTGGGTTGTGGGTTCGATCCCCAATAGGGGGCGTGCAGGAGGCAGCCGATCCATGGTTCTCTCTCATCATGGATGTTTCTCTCTCTCTCTCTCTCTCTGCCTCTCCCTTCCTCTCCGAAACCAATAAGAACATATTTACAATGAAGCCTCGAGCTGGAGGCTCCCACGGCCCCCGGACGAGCCGCCGAATAACATCTTTATCTTTCTATTTCTGTCACCCATCTGGCCGGGAGCGGCAGGGCGGGCCAGGGCCGAGCCAGAATCACCACCCTGCAATGCGAGGGCTGGGAGACGCGGGCAGCAACATCGGACCGTCCCAACGCCAGCTTGGAAGGGAATCAGAACGAGTAATTTAAGAAAAATGTGGGAGGCCTCGCGGCCATTGGCCGGCGCCTCTGCAACATCCACCCTTCTCCAGACGTTTGGCCAAAGGACAACTCAAAAACAAATGCTTTCAGTTTGCTTCAATGACAGGCTCTGGAAAAAGCCCAGCGACCGGTCCCGGGCTCTCAGAGCAGCCGGGCTGCGCTCCCCAGGAAGGCACAGAGCAACACGGACGGCGCTTCCAGCCCAGGCTGGTGTGCTCAGTGGTTAGCGCCCCGGCCCGCGCACGGAAGGGTCCCGAGTTCCGTTCCTGCTCCGGGGCACGTACCTGGGTTGCAGGTTGGGCTCCCGGCCCAGGTCAGGGTGCGTGCATGAGGCAAACAATCAATGTTTCTCTCACTTTCTCTCTTTCTGCCTTCCTTCCACTCTCTCTAAAACTCAATGAAAAAAATATCCTCTGGTCAGGATTTAAAAATAAAAAAGAAAGAAAGTATTTCAAGCCCAGCTGGTGTAGCTCAGTGGTTGAGCCTCAACCTATGAGCCAGGAGGTCACAGTTGGATTCCCGGTCAGGGCACAAGCCCGGGTTGCGGGCTCGAACCCCAGTGTGGGGCGTGCAGGAGGCAGTTGATGCATGATTCCTTCTCATCATTTATGTTTCTCCCTCTCTCTTCCTCTCTCTAAAGGTGAACTGGAAAAAAAAAGAAAGTACTTCAAGCAAACTGGCCTTTTGTTTATTTTATTTTTAAAAATACATTTTTATTGAAATATATTTTTATTCCCAGAGAGGAAGGGAGAGGGAGAGAGAGAGAGAAACATCAATGGTGAAAGAGAATCATTGATCGGCTGCCCCCTGCCCGCCCCCAAGTAGGGATGGAGCCAGGTACCCAGGCATGTGCCCTTGACTGGGACCGGTGACGAAAGCTGTCTGAACTCTTCCTCCGCCTCTTGTTTTGACAAAAGGACGTGCTATCAGTCCTTCTGGGAGGAGGGTGGGGGGGGGGCGCTGTAAATTCCATCCCTTTCCGAGGCACTTGATACATACAATGGGGACTGGAGCTCATTAAAATGAAACGCTGCCTGCGTGCGTTCGACCGACCTTTACCCTCGGCTCCGTAACATTCATTTCCAGTTCGGTCATCCCCAACACGCGGGCGGCTTCTATCCACTGAGCCAAACCGGCCAGGGCAAGGCCTTTTAAATTTAATTTTGTGTTTTACCATTTCGGTAAAAAAAAAAAAAACCAAGGGAGAGGAATTAAGAATGTAAAGAGAACCGGTGACGAAAGCTGTCTGAACTCTTCCTCCTCCTCTTGTTTTGACAAAAGGAAGCGCTATCAGTCCTTGTGGGAGGCGGGGGGTGCGCTGTAAATTCCATCCCTTTCCGAGGCACTTGATACATACAATGGGGACTGGAGCTCATTAAAATGAAACGCTGCCTGCGTGCGTTCGACCGACCTTTACCCTCGGCTCCGTAACATTCATTTCCAGTTCGGTCATCCCCAACACGCGGGCGGCTTGGCGTTCCCAAGCCCCTCAATAACCTCAAATCCTCTTTGCCTTTTCATAATCCTATTAACACAGCTCTCCACCTGAGACGCGGTTGCAAAAACAGCCTGGCTGCCCTGGCCGGTGTGGCTCAGTGGTTGTAGCGTCGACCTGCAGATTAGAAGGGTCCTGGGTTCGATTCCGGTCAAGGGCAGGTACCTCGGTTGCGGGCTCGATCCCCAGCCCTGGTCAGGGGAACCTGCCGGAGGCAACCCATCAGTGTGTCTCTCTCACATCGATGTTTCTCTCTCTCTCTCTCTCCCCACCTCTTTTCCACTCTCTCTCTAAAAATCAAAGGGAAAAATAACAAGAACGTTTCATTTTCAAAACTGAGCTCTCAGCCGTGAGAGCGCATACACGCTTTTGGGGGGAACAGCCTGCATTTAATCAGAGCGAGGAGGCGGAGCGGCGATGAGTCGGACCGACAGCGAAGGGGCTGGGTCTGCATGGGAACCGGGCGGTTTCTACAGAGGCTGCCCGGCCCTGCTGTCCATCACGCTCTCCGGGGCCGAACGCTGAGTGAGAGCCGCCAGACACAACGGGCAGCGGTGGAACGCCCGGCCACTCCCTTCTCTCTTTCCTCTTTATTGGCTGCAAGGATGCTCCGACAGCGGCCCTGCCAAGAGTCTATTCAGAAGTCCTGGAGCCTGGCTGGTGTGGCTCAGTGGTTGAGCATCGACCTAGGAACCTGGAGGTCACGGTTCCATTCCCGGTCAGGGCACCTGCCTGGGTAGTGGGCTCGATCCCCACTATGGGGCCTGCAGGAGGCAGCCGATCCATGATTCTCTCTCGTCACTGATGTTTCTCTCTCTCTCTCTCCCTCTTCCTTCCTTCCTCTCTGAAATCAATTAAAAAAAAAAAAAGTCCTGTAGAAAAGGGATGTTTATTGGAGAAAAACTAAATGCCAGGGCCTTTGCCTAGGAAATCTTTCCTTACTCTCATCTCCTTCCTTCGAGGGCACAATTGGCAAGATGTTGCCCACACACTCAAACCGAATATAGCACTTTACTTTTATTTTAATACTAGAGGCCCGGTGCATGAAATTCGTGCACGGGGTGGAGGGACTGGTCCCTCAGCCTGACCTGCACCCCCTCCAATTCGGGAGCCCTCAGGGGATGTCCTACTCATGGCTCGGGCCTGCTCCCCATGGTCCTGTGCTCTCTGCGGGGCCTGCCTGCTCCACACCACGGGGATGGCCAAGCAGGCCCTGCTGGGTGCTGCCTGCGGGCTGCGCTTGCCTGCTGGGCTCATGTTGCTGGGGTGACTTGATTAATTTCAGAGAGGAAGAGAGAGGGACAGAGAAACGTCAATGAAGAGAGAGAATCCTTGATCAGCTGCTTCCTGCACGCCCCACACTGGGGATGGAGCCCGCAATCCGGGCATGATTCTCTCTCGTCACTGATGTTTCTCTCTCTCTCCCCCTCTTCCTTCCTCTCTGAAATCAATAAAAATATATTTTAAAAAACAAAACAGCCAGCAGCACCCTAGGCACCCACCCTGCCCAGGGAGCGGGCTGTACCTGGGGGTCCATTCGGAGGAAGGTGTGAGGGCCTCTGCTACTGAAGGTCGACCTCTTGAAGGTCTTGCTGTGATAAAAGTGGTAGTAGTTTTCCAGGTTTCCGATCTGCAAGACAAGAAACAGGACGTCAGTCGTGAACACAGTCCTCCAAACGGTTTCCAAAACCCCGCATCCTGCCCCTCTCTGAAATGTGGCTCCGGGGTTGAGCGTCGACCTAGGAACCAGGAGGTCAGGGTTCGATTCCCGGTCGAGGGCACATGCCCTGGTTGTGGGCTCCATCCCTAGTAGGGGGCGTGCAGGAGGCGGCCGATCCAGGATTCTCTCTCATCATGGATGCTTCTCTCTCTCTCTCTCCCCCTCTCCCTCCCTCTCTCCGAAATCCATAAAAACATCTCTGAAAAAGCCACACAAAACCCTGCAGCCCACAACAGCCTTCTGGAACCCTCTCTACGAAGGTCCTCCTGCTCCCAGAGGCAGCACCGCCTTGGACCTGCACCCTCGCGCTTGGAGACGTGAACAGGGTGTCCACTCAGGGTCACGCGTCCCCGAAGCACTGAGTGAGTGTCACGCCAGGTCTACACCAAAACACTCCTCCGTAAACAAACCGCGTCCTCCCCGCCCCCCGGGTGAGCGGGAATCTCTAAGAATGAACAGTCGCTCCTTCCGCTCCAGGGCGACGCGGGAGCCAAGGAAAGCACGCGGGTCCGGGTCCGGCGTGGGGACTGGGCAGAGGTCAGCTGAGCACATTGTGCTCCCCGGGGGGTCCCTCCTTTCTGAGGGGGCGGGGGTCCGAGGACGCCTGGGGAAAGGATGTGGCCAGGGAGACAGACGGACAGACGGTCCTCCCGGGAGCAGCCACTTGCCCTTGTGTGTGAGGAGACGACCCCTGCACGTCGGGTCACTGGTCTCCGAAGGCCTCTGTCTTGCTCTTTACTGGCTGTTGGAAAGAGCCCAGGTAGTGTGGCTCAGGGGTTGAGCACCGACCTACGAGCCAGGAGGTCGCTGGTTCGATTCCCGGTCAGGGCACGTGCCCGGGTTGCGGGCTCGATCCCCAGTGGGGGGCGTGCAGGAGGCAGCCCATCACTGATTCTCTCTCATCACGGATGCCTCTCTCTCTCTCCCCTTCTCCCTGCCTCTCTGAAATCAATAAAAATATATTCAAAACAAACTAACAAACAAAACAGCTGTGGCACCAAACAAGGAAGGGGCAGGCGCCAAGGCATAAAAATAAGAGGCCCAGATTGGGGTGTTTGCAGGAAGAGCCAGTTTTTTTTTGTTTGTGTGTTTTTGTGTTTTTTTTCCTGCAAATACGAGGACAGCCAGCTTCATCTGTCCTCCCTGCCCATGCAGGTCGGGTGTGAGGTCGGGGGACGGGATCAGGGAGGGGCCCGGCCGGCAGGGTGGCTGGGAGGGGAGGGGAGAGGGGGGAGTGATTACTTCTTGGTGACTCCACACCCATTCGTACAGAGCGGGGCAACAGTAAGGTTACGGTCGTTCACGTGAAAAATAACACAGTGTTGCCCCTGGCCAGTGTTGCCCAGTGGTTAGAGCGCTGGCCCGGGCCCTGAAGGGTCATGGGTTCGATTCCCCATCAAGGGCACATACCTGGGTTGCAGGTTCGATCCCTGGCCCCGGTCAGGGTGGGTCTGGGTGGGTGCGTGCATGAGGCAACCAGTGGATGTGTGTTTATCGGTTGCAGAGAGGAAGTGAGAGGGAGAGAGAGAAACCACCAATGGATATGCTTCTCGCACATCGGTGTTTCTCCCCCCCCTCCCCCGCCCCCCACTT